AATCCATCTATATCTATTGCTTGTATTGGAGTATTTCCTGCAAACTGGTACGGTGTGTACCAAGGATATGATTTCGTAAGTGGGTCAACAGATAAGAAGCGACCAATTGCAGGGTTATATATTCTAAAGCCATAATCGTATGTAGTTGTTGGTGATATCTCTGTGTCTTGTTCCTTCCCATTAAATCCATACCTGTACCCTCCCGCCAAACTAGCCCCTGGTCCCCCATTTGTTTGGTTTCCTGTTCCAGCATAGCTGGGATCGGCAATATAGGCACTGAACTCGTCACTGGAAGCACTTTCAAACTCGCCCGTAAACTCAACATTGCTGGCGGCAACATATTCAGCGGGCTGTGCACCGGTACGGTTGCCTGTCAGGGTTAAGTCCTGCGGAACGCTATAACCGTTAACTGTAGTGCTGCCGGTTTGGGTGCCACCCGGTATGCCATAGCCCAGGCTGCCACCCCGCATTGGCATTCCGAATGGATAAAAACCAAGAAAGTGTGTAATCAGCCATATTAGCGACTTACCAAATTCAAAGAACCAAAGTTTATTAATATAAAAGTATTCTCTGCTATAATATTGCTTGATATGCAAGTCTGCAACGTTATCTGCCTTGTAGGTTATTGATTCGTCTTATATTTTGTCTCTTGTAGACATTAGATACAAACTCAAAACAATATCGCTTCAATTTATCCCAATTCAGAATAAATTATATCTCCTAAGTATTCAAAATGTTTGAAACTTTCTGTCCGATTAAATACTTTCGTTTCAATTGTATTTCCATCAGAATTGGGAAAAGACATAATAAAATCTTTGTGAAACAAAAATTTCACTCCAAATGGCATCGGATTACCTTGTATACTCATTAATTGTATTCCCAGTATTTGTTCTTCTATTAAATCCTTAAAATCTATAGAGTTTGTAACATCGTAGTATTCTAGAGCAATTTCATCATTTATTTGCTGATTCATCCAGCCATCAATTCTTATTCCAAAATCTTGGCCTGAAAAGTAAAATCTGGGAATTGATTCGAGAGTAACTTTAGGCGACCATAAATTATCTAAATCTGTACCTATAACATATATAAAATCCAGCTTTTCTTTAATAACCATACCTACACGTATATCTATTTGCGAAAACGACTTTTCGCCAATTGGGGGAAACACGATAAGGAATAGCCGAACGATGGTCATATTGACCAATTCTTTAAGTTTATCTATTTCAGTCATTTTATTGGAGTTGCTTTTTGAAACCACGCATTCGACGTTTTATTAATCGTAGTTATGAGCGTGCCATCATGTTCTGTTACAATCATTTTCCCTTCACCGATAAAGAATTTTGCTCCTTTAGTGCCATTCCACTCGCCAACTCTCTCTAATTTCATTTTTGCGAAAAGATCTTTTGCGGCTTTTTCCAATTGTGGCACCATTTTTTGCAACTCTTGAGGCGTCTTTCCTCCAAACCCTAACACATCCGCATGTTTAATTAAATGCCCTTTTGCATTTTTGCCAAAATCTAGGACTGTCTTTTCAGATTTGACAAAAGATTGCTCTGTCATTCGTATCGCGTCATCTAAAAATTCCGCTCCCCAGTTAGCATAACTAGCCGGCTTAGGCAATTCATTTGCAGCCTTTGTAATCCATCTACCTGCAGCAGGTGCTTTTGTGACAGTCCGTTCTGCTAAGGTTGCTTCTGTCGCAAGTGGCACATATGTAGATACGACATCTGCAGTAGCAACAAACATTTTAGTTCCACCAGTTATTTGTTTAGTTGTTCCTTCTACTACGTCTACTGTAGCCAATCTTTCTTGCACGTGCTGGGGAACGTTTGCATTTTGATAGCTTGCATTGCCGGTTTGTGTAACCACTTTTCTTACTGTACCTCTGGCATAATCCTTTGTGCCTTCTCTAAAATCTATAAATGGACGAACAAATATTTCATGGAATATTGCAGCCTCCCACTCCAGACCATCTTTATCAATTCCATCAATTGGGCTATTTGATGCGAATTGGTAAGGTGTTAATTCTGGATATTTCTTTTGTAATGGATCTACACTTAAGAATTTCCCAATTCTTGGATCATATATCCTCATTCCGTAGTCAATCTCATTTCCATCTCCTTTAACATCTGCATCATTCTCCTTACCATTAAACCCATACCTATAACCTCCCAGCCATGTTAACCCCACCTCCACCATTTGCCTGGTTACCCGTACCCGCATAGCTGGCGTCGGCGATATAGGCACTGAACTCGTCACTGGAAGCACTTTCAAACTCACCGGTAAACTCCACATTATTGGCAGCCACGTATTCGGCTGGCTGAACTCCTGAGCGATTGCCGCTGAGGGTTAAATCCTGAGGAACGCTATAACCGTTAACCGTAGTGCTGCCGGTTTGGGTGCCACCCGGTATGCCGTAGCCCAAGCTAGTGCCCCGCATTGGCATTCCGAATGAATCTCAATGTGTGTTCTATAAGAGCTTTGTGACAGTGCGTATTCAAAGAACTTTTACAGTGACAAATATATCCGAAACGTCCGAAAGGTTTGCAAATTTTGCCGTATTGGGGGAGTTATAGGTGGATATCGGTAGGGGCTGGTACCGGTATTGTCACCAATTTTGTAAAGGCTTTTTTGACCTCTTCGTTCAGGTAGTCTTGTGCGATGGCCACATACCTGTAAAACTCCTTGCTTCCCGGAGCATGGCCGGATATTTTACGGACAACTATTTCTGAAACACCCAGTATCAGCAGGGTTGTAATAGCAGTTCGACGCATGGTATGAGCCGTAATATGGTCATGAAATCGCCAGGAATCGCCGTTTGGCTTCTTGAGTTCGATTATCTTTCCCTCTCTAGTGATTGTTTTTGGTAGCTCATAAGACCAACCTGCTTTTTCAATTAGCTTCTTTACCTGTTTGTTGATATTGGTGCCGGATAATCGGGGCAACAGGTATTTGCCTGCTCTTTTTTTATAATAGGCGGCAATTTCAAGGGCATACTCTGGAAGCGGAACTTTTACTATAGCCCCAGTCTTACCGGTTTGAATCAACAGATAAGCCTCGTTCCCTGTGTATACGATGCTGTTCTTTTTGAGTTTCATAAGGTCGGTAATACGAAGCGCCACTGTACATCCAAAGACAAAAATATGTCTTGCACGCTGGAGGCTTGGGCTGAGTGTGTTTGTAAATTCAACATTTGTAATAAGATAACTTAATTGCTCAGGGAGCAGCACTACAGGAGTACTTACTTGAGAAGGTGCTCTAAATGATTTATGGTAGTTGCCTATACTGAGACCTTTTTCTGATTGCAGGTAGTTAAAAAAAGCTTTTATTATTTTGAAAACATTGCTTGCGTAATTGTCAAAATATTTCTTCTCTTTGAAGAGAAAATTGGAAAATTGCTGGACGAATTTAGACCAATAAGATTTCTCCTTTTGCAGTAAGCGGAGAGGGGCGCGATGTAATAATTGAATCCGTAAAATAATTGTCTTTTTTCGTTCAAATTCCAACAGCAGATTTAGCGTGTAATTGTAGTTCTTTAGTGTTCCAGCGGAAATTCTTTTCCCTATAGGTGTTTTCCTTCTCCCGTTCTGTGATGCCTTAATAAATAGCTTAAAATGTTCGACCAATAAGATTTGTGGATTTTTCTTTTTCATTGTTTTTGAAATAAAGTAGCCTTATTGACAACGAAATAAAAATAGCGTAATATTATTGTTAATGTAACAGGTGATTTATGAGGCAATCTCATTACTTTTTGGAAACTGCCATTCAAAAAATATCTTACGAGACCGGTTGTCTACAGAGTTTCTATAGAGAAGATGGTTATTCATAAATTATTGTGTTCATGGCGTATGGGTTGTTGCTCAACCTCTTATTAAATAAATTTAGTAATTTTAATTTAGATCCGCTTTTGAGCATTCTTAAAAACACACGTTCTTGGGAAATTTACGAATAGAGAAATCATTAAAATGTTCAGGAATAATTAAGCATGTAAACAAAATTCCTTTTTTAAAGGAAAAAGATTATTACGTTAAGGATTATAAATTGGATGGTGACGCTCCTAAACAGTTTATTAAGGTTTATTTTTATCAGGAAGAAAGCGGAGTCAGAAAATCTTCTAAAAAGTCTTGGTTTTCATATATAGCTAAAACAGCCGAAAAATGGTATCCTCATGAATCAGTTATTGAATTCATGATAAATAGAATCGGAGAGGTGTTGGAATTAAGGATGAATGAAATTAAGCTTGTCCGGGCTAATGAACAGATTCGATTTTTAAGTAAATACTTCCTCACGGAAAATGAAAAACTTGTGCATGGGGCCGAAATTTGTGGTCAACATCTTGGTGATATGTTAATGGCCCAACAAATTGCAAATGATCGACCGACGGCGAGAGAGCTGTTTACATTTGAATTTATCAAGGACTCCATACGCACCGTTTTTCCAAATGACTTTGAAATATTACTGACGGATCTGGTCAAAATGATAGTTTTTGACGCCCTCGTCGGTAATAATGACAGGCATTTTTACAATTGGGGGGTAATTCACACCTTGAAAAAGACATCAAAAAAGCCTACTTTTGCTCCCCTTTACGATTCGGCAAGGGGTTTGCTATGGAATTTCAGCGATTCAAATTTGAAAGATTTCCTGAAAAACTATTCGACGGGTGGGAAAAAGGTTGTAGATTATGTGGAAAAAGCCAGCCCTAGAATCAGTATCGAGAGTAATAGTCAGGCCAATCATTTTGAACTAATTAGTTTTATTAAGCGTTATAGTACAGAGTATTTGCAATTGGTGACTGAGTTGTCAAGCCGCGAAAATGAAGAGCGGGTTTTTAATATGATATCAAGGGAGTTCAAAGATTTCTTCATATCAGAACGGTTTGACCTGATTTGTATCATCTTGAAGACTCGGTTTGAGCGAGTTAGAAATATATAAGAGGAGGTATCTATGCGTAAATTTTTTAATTGGTTTAGTAAAACAGATGATGATGTCGAAATTCAACTTCCCCAAGATCAGGAAGCGAAATTCATTTTGATGGCAGATGATATTCATGTCGGTACTCTTTATTGTGAAAAAGGAGATTGGTTTTTTAAGTATTCCGAGATTTTTAAACGTCATCTAAATGAATATAATTTGGTAACTGGGTTTCCGGATGTTAACAAGACTTATCAAAGTTCTTCATTGTGGCCTTTTTTTAAGATTCGCATACCAGGACTGAAGCAGCCTGCAATTCAGGAGATATTAAAACGGGAAAAAATTGATAGTGGAAATGATATCGAATTGTTGAAGCGTTTTGGTCAAAAGACTATCTCAAATCCTTACGAGTTAATGGTATCATAAAATAATTAAAGAATTGTATTTAAAGCGGCTTTGCCGCTTTTTTTGTGTCATTTATTTATTAGAAACCAAGACATATTTATTACCAACATTAGTTTTTTGTTGCATTGGTTGCTGTATGGTAATTGCATATTACACCATGACATTTAGAAGTTAGTATCTTTTGATAAAGCACAGTACTCCTCCTGCGCACAATTATGCCATGTAGCAGGAGAACTGTGCCAGTAAACGCTGAATGGTCATTGCCTTTGGCTCGTCCCTCACCAAATACAATTCCAGATGCTACAAGGCTGGATAAATCAGACTTTTTAACAAATCAATCCTAAGCGCCATTCATCCTTATCTTCTGCAAATATCTTGACAGGCTTTGTCAAAAGCAAGGTCTGCGTCCCGCCAAACAGCCGGGCGGGACTTGCCACGGTTTTGCAAAAACAATCTCCACCCCGGCGGGTCTCCTGCGGAGCATAAATGGATGGGGTAGTATTCTTTTTGCGAAAAACCTTGCTTTTGCCAAACCCTGTTCAAGGCCGGGTTGCTACGATTAGAATGAACGGGAAGTATGCCTGGTTCTGCCTCAAAAATCAGGGAAAAGCCTGGATAAACGGATGCAATAGCTGATTCTGCTATAATTCCGGTCGTGGCCTAATTGATTAAGTGGAGGCGATTTAGACCTAAATGATGTTTTGATATGGAATTTTTGAGAGTAAAGGGGGGATTATAAAGGGTCGCCTGCAATTTTATAAACTACAACGCTTTCGTAACGCTGCTACAATACTTGAAACTATGACTAGGTTGTTAAAGCCCGGAAAGCTGCCGCACTGAAGGGTGCGGCAGCTTGTGTATTCTTTAAAACCCTGTAAAATTGGCATTGGCATCGTAAGAAAGACATTGCTCATAGCCGCAAGCATTCCAGAGGGTTTCAAACCAGGGCTTTATTGATGAGTCAACTTTGCCCGTATAGTTGTGAACTAGGATTTCTGGGAATTGAATAAATTCTCTATCAATGCCCTTCTCTCTGGAAAAGGGGCGTCTTAGTCGTTCGGAATATAGGTCGTATCCCTTAATATTTATAAAATGAAGAAACAGGTAAACAGGCGTTTGAATACCTCTTTTCAGAGTTAGCTTAAGCGCATCATCCGCAAATTGTATGATTTTCCCCTCCACGCTAAAACCTGGGCTTACCGAGATTAGTTTTTTTTGGTCATATTCCCGCAAAAGATCAGCGTTAACTGTTTCTATGATGCCGTGCCGGTACTGTTGCACATAAGCAGTATAATCAATATTGCCGAATTCTCTTTTAAAATTGAGTAGTCCATCCAAATTGAACCGAAAATCATATCCATCGAAGCCTAAAGGGTTAAGGCGGTCTATATTTAAGTCCTGATTGGAAATGATATTTGCACCTTCTACAATGCTTTGGAGTGGTACGATATGCAAAATGATTTTGGGATTTTTTTCAAGCTGTACCGGTGTGTCGTTTGCGGTAATGGCTGTAGTCCTAGACTTTATAAAATCTTTTATTTTTTCAATAGCCTTGGACGACTGCAAAAAGGCTTGTCCTATTTCAGAAACGTCCATTTTATATTTTCCATTGTTCGACCTGCTGTAAAAGCGGTCCACCCCTTGTAATGTCACCTGGTGAGGAGCATTCAGGCTCTTCGGGATTCTGAACAATAATACAGCTTTGCCATTTTCCAGGGGAAAAGACTTTAGCCGGATATCCATTATGCGCGGTTTGATGCTGTCTCTGATCATGTTTTCCATTGTTCCGCATTGCACGTCAATATTGCCATCTATACCTTCCAATGATCCCGGCAGTCCTTTTTCCTTCCCTTCTGTAATACCAAAAAGCAAGTCCCCACCAGTGGCGTTTGCAAAAGAACTGATATCATACAGAAATTCCTTTTTTTCGGCATCCTTATTCAGGTTCAGTAGGGATTTGTATTCAAGTGTTTTGTTTTCTGCGATCTGATTTTCTATCAAATCCTTTATATCCTGCAGATGAATACTTTCAAAAGTCTTTTGAATCATGGATAGGTTTCTTTGCTTAATTATATCTACAAAGTTAGCCTTTTGGCTCCGGGGCGGCAATGAAATTCCGGCATAAACCGTCCCGCCATGGCGGGACTATTTATTCCGTTGCTTCATTGCCTTGGTCGCCAAAAAGCTGGGGTGGTTCCATAATTAATTTT